AGTACACCAGCTGATTAATTATAATCCTCTTCCTTGTAGTGTAGCTGATGTCAGTAAGCAAAGCAACTGGCTGCCACTCTGAACACATCAGGTATTGCTCCCCTTCACAAACTGCAGATAAACCTCCTTAATCTGTAATCTACACAAGTTCTGTGAGTCTGGATATGGTGGGAGCTTTATGCTCTATTCTCAGCCACACTGAAAAATGGGCATTCACAGACTGAGAAATAACAAAGAAAAGTCTCCACCAAGTTAGTTTCTGTACCCTTAGTGCCTTCAAAGCTGTTTTTCCAAGCCAGGAAAGGCCTGTATCAGTGACCAATTTTAGAAACACCTTCCCCTCTCACACACTTAATATTCTTATCAAAGAACAGACAGTGATTGGTGTAATCAGCCAGGGCGAGTGCCTGAGCTCTGTTCTTGCACTATTGATGGCAGTAAAAATCTCAGCACTTCAGTTTGACCAGCTTCTCTCCTCTGTACTCAAGCTGCTTGTTACAGTAAAGCACAGCCAGTGGTGTGACAGAGCACACCCTCTCCTGCCAAGCTTCTCTCCTAGTGCAGCCGTCCCCAGAGAGGAAAAAAAAAAAAAAAAAGCCAAAGAAAAAAAATAGAAAAAGCAAAAAAAAATTCTACATATATGGGAAGGGAACAGAGAGAAACGCAGACAGCAGCAAAACCCATTTGTGGGATTGAAGGGTGACTGCAGTGTCCCAGAGCACTTGTACAGCAAGTCAAGAGGAACCCCCAGCACTGCTGGAGCAAGCATTACATCAGTGACACTTCCTCCACACCCTGCAGTTCACCAAAAAATGGAGACCAGGCACACCTCTCATTTCCAAGTGGAAAACCAGCACAAAGGAAAGGCTGCTGTGGATCCCAGGCACAGCACAGGAAAGGACTTCACTTGCTCCATGCCCTATTCCTTCCACCCACAGGCAGACAGGCTCTGGCACTGAAAACCCAAAAGGAGTAATGAGTGCTCCAGCCACATGCATCTGGGCTATTCTAAGTCAAACTTAATTAGGCTAGAGCAATTTTTATCAAATCCTTATGCCTACATATTCTGCACTGCTTTTCCAGAAGAAAAAACCCACATCCTTACAATCTGTTGGCTGCAATGTTTTTGTGGGGATATATGTCCTACTTTGATCTCTATGTATGGCATTTTTCATCCAGTCTTCTGGTTTGCTCAGTACTCAAATAAAAAATTAAAATGTAATTTTTAATGAGTCCACGTTTTACCAAATTTACAAGGATTAGGGAAAATAGACTTTACGTGCAATGGGAAATATTATGAAGAAATCTTCCTATAATGTAACAGCAATCCCTGTGTAAAAATTGACAAATCTCCTGGCAGTTCACATGGTACATGCAGGATTTGCTATGTTCATATATAAAGCCAATTAAATATACCATTGCTAAGTAAAGAACTTAAATAAAACAAAGTAATCCACACCTCTACCGCTTCAGATTTCGGAAAAAATTTGTTAAGAGCCACAAATAGGAATTGGAACTGTTTTCCCCTATCCAGAAAAAATTATTTTGACAAGATAATGTAGTCTAACCTGGCAACTTCAGATCATGAGAGAGTATCTGTTTGACTGGTTGCTCATTTGTTCTGAAAGGTTTCAGCTACTTCAACAGGCATTATCACAGGATTAGCAAAGTAAAACATCAGTTAAATTATTGCTGTCCTCCAAAGTGAGGAGATTCCATTTAGGAGACCATAATTCTCTTTTACGGCACCTTCAGATGAGAGTGAGGCACCACATTTTTTTCACAGGACAGATTTAATGCTGAAACATCCATATCCTCTTTGAAAAAGACTAAAACCACAAATTTAACAGAACTCTCCAGACCACAAAAGCCTTCCCAATAAAACCATAATTTGAGTAGATAAAGTATCCATGAAATATTTATTTTCACTCTTCTGGCCAGCTCCAAACCACACTGCAGTTTTAGAATTTCATTCTGAGATGTCTGTGGTCAACCTGCAGGTCCAGGATGCTGTCCAGCTCCACTTCCCCATCCCCTGGATCTCTGCAATCCCTTTATAATGGGGTTCTATGGATTATAATGAGACGCCACATGGGACCCAATCAATAGGCAATCCCTGCAGCCTTGCTGATACACAGTAAAGCACGATAAAAGGACAAAGGAAGGGAAGAAAACAAGAAATGAGACTCCTTTCCTCAGGGTGGAGGCACTTCTAACCAAACCCATGCTTTAATGGAGATACAGGCAGTGGCTTGTACACACCCATAAAGTCATGCTTCTCTTTGCTTGCAAGACAAAGGTAGCAAGGATAATTCACGAAGGATTTATCTGTGACTTTTGTACAAAAGGAAGACAGGGAAAAACACCCTTGTACTAGATGCAAAAAAAAAAAAAAAGAAAAAAATCCATAGTCAACTTCTATTTAGAGTTTAAAATTCAGAAAGAATGAGGGCAAACAGCATGACAAATTGCTATTAGCAAGGTTTGCTTCATAATTAAATTACTCTGTAGAAGTTAAGATTATCTGGTACACCTCCAACACAGCCAGTGATATGCCTTGGGTAAAAACACAGTTGTCCAGAGAGGCCTCAGGTCAAAACAAACACCACAGGGTCTAACCTCTTTTTAAAGAAGTATTTAATCCAAATAGGAAAATCAGTTTAGTACCAGTGCAGTTTGTGAGCTAAGACAGAAGGTTATAGGACAGCTCTAAAAATTAGCGAATTCTCCGGTGGGAAGATTTTTTTTTTAAAGTAAAATAAAAAATAAAAAAAAAAAATTAAAAATGAAATAAAATTTATTAAGAGAACATACACACAAAACCCCCTCCTGGGGTACAGAATTCTGACTCTATTTTCATGAAAAAAAAATGTACAACATACAATGGCCAGAAAAAAGGACAAGTTAAAATATACATCATAGCCTGGATATAACTTTTAAATCACTATCTTTATATGGAATAGGTGGCTGTGAATAATCTACTGTACAGCCTAGGGTAATAGCTCTGAACTACTAAAAGGTAGTTCAAAAACTTGCAAATTCATCTCCCAGTCTGTCAGTCTGATCAGCCTGCAGACACAGAGTAAGTGGGATGACTCCTGGTGCTTTGAGATACCAAGAACTCTGCTCAGAACAATCAATCTGCCCACCTCAGCCTACAAACAACACAGCCTGTGTCAGCTGCATGGCATCCCTGCCAGATTGGCATGGCTTTAATTTGTCAGAGCTCAATTAATTAGGTTAACTTAAAATGTTGAAATGGAAAAAAAATAGAAAAAAGGCACCCCAACAGCAACAAAATTACAGGAATTAAGTCAAGTATCTGTGTCAAAGCCAGTAAAAGCAACTTTCATTTCCAGGACACAACAAGGGATCAGAGCCAGGTTTGCCATTTCAGTTTTTGCTTTCTTTGCTGGAACGAAAACACACACTCTTAATATGTTTGGTTTGTAAACCTAACTTTGATGTTTCCAGTTCAATGGACTTTGAGCAATTGTTATATTATGAAAGATGAGGGGTACCTATCCAATGTGCTGGGTTTCCTGCCAGAAATTACAAAAACAAGACCAGCCACAGAATACTGAGTTCCCTTCTCACCCACAGCTGGGATTTTTTTCATAAGCTTACCTCAGAGCAGGAGAGTGCCCCATGGCTATGCTTTGTCTGAGGTTTTATTAAAGAGCTTGAAAGGATCTTTTCAGCAGAAGTCTTTCCCACATCACCACAATCCCAGACAGACTGTGACATTTTGCAGAATTACAGGGAGTGGAGTTGGTTCTAGAACAAAAGCACTGCAACAGAAAGCCAGGTTTCCTGGCTTCTCTAATACATTCCCAATTTCTTTTAGCTGCTGATGCTTCTTCTAGCTTTGCAAACAGAAGCTAAATTTCGATTTTATTTGCTCATTTGGATACAGATTGCAGAAATTCTCAAAGGTGGTAGTGACACAGGACTTCTTCAGAGAGAAAGAGGAGCTGGAGGCAGGGGCTCCAACACCATCTCAGTGTGAAACCATCTCCCTGTTTTAGAGATGGGGACATGGCATGGCAGCAATATTGTAGAAACATCCTTGTATCAGAGTATTCTGTTCTTTATACCTATCTCTGGACAGGTTTTATTTTAAAAGAAAGCTTCCAAGGAGCATTAGTGTCTCAGTATTCTGCTTGGGATATACAATATGTTCTAAATACTGAATTTGACTTTGTATTTGAAGTTTGATGGTTTTTCTTAACAGAGATACTCGGAGAAAGAAGACAGAAAATTAAGGAGTCATAAACACAAGCAGCAGCATCTACATTTACATACAATGGAAATCTCTTCCATAGTCCATCACTTTTCCTGGCACACTGTTACCAGTCTGGCCATGAGCCACAAGGATGTGTGGGAACTGCATGTCTTTTTCTAAAAATCGATTTCAAGTTAAGCAGCAATGACACATCATATCACAAACTGAAAATAAGATTTATATTGACCCTCTCCCTAAACCAGCCTTTGTCTAGCATGTTTTCTCCACCAGGAGTTTTTGACAGAGGCAAAAAAATGAATCGAAGTACTAACAATGTTTTACAACAGAAAGTGCCCAAGGAGAAGCTGAAACACACACAGTGACTTCTAAAAAGGGACAGAGAGGTTTCCAACCTTCTGGTTTTGCTTTTCTGCATCACCAATGTATAGACAAACATATATGCAAAATGAAAAGTGTTTCACTCAAGGAAAAAATCCAGTGGCTTTGATCTAACAAAGCTTGGTATTAACACATTTAAAGTGGAAACAACTTCAAATTTTATTGTTTACCTTTTGCATTTGAAATTTTTCAAAAATCAAAATTTTAAATACTCATGTTTCCTCTCTGGCTTAGGTATATCATGAATATTTACATTGCTGGGAACAAGTTACAGTCATTACTTACACTAAGGATAAGCAAATATATTTCCATTTGTAGGTTCCAACATAATGAAGTGCTTGATTACTTGCTGAATTGATTACTGTGACTTTCTTACCTGAAGGCCATCTGCTTGTCTCTGTGAGAAACAAGGGTTCAGGTCAACAAAAAGCATCTCATGGTGTTGAAGCAGATACAGCAGGAGGCCATTGTAAAGCCTTTGCTCTTCACAAGCCAAGGGACTGACAGGGACCCTAAAGGAAGAGGAGGTGGATTAAGTTTAGGAGCTCTCAGATCAGGGGCTAATCATGAGTCACACAGGGAGCCCTCCCAGGGCCCAAGATAATTCAGCAAAGCAGCCAGCTGAGTGACTGGATGAAAACAGAGTTCCCCATTTCTAACAAGCAGTTGTTGGGACAGGGACCTACAGTTTGGTGGGTTCACAAGACTGGGACCTTCGCAGTGTCAGAGCTCCAGTTTGCTGATCCACAACACAACGAGTCTTTGTGGCAGCACAGCAGAACCTGACAGCAACTCAGACTCGAGGTTCAGAAAATCAAGGATTTGATTTCTCCTGTTGAGAATGGGAGAAAAAGCCCCAGAAATCTGCCAGCACTCGCTGACACTGGGTTGAAGAGAGTAGTTTTGTTCTAGCTTAGCTTATGAAGGTGAATTCTGATCACTGGAATGTCTTATTACCAAAAATGCCTGGAAAAAACCCCCATAGGTAACAAACTGCTTCAGTGTGTTAATTTATAAATCCACAGACATCAAGCACATCATGCAGGGAAACTTGCAGATGCTCCCATTAGCAGGTTGAGTTTGGGGTTTTTTCTTGCTTTCCCCACATATTTATTTTTAAAAAAATAAATAATAGTTGAACTTGTGGTATCCATGCTAAATTGGAATAAATTAAAGTCAAGGGATTCTTTGTATAGGATTCTAATCTCATTCCCTAAAGGACCTGTGTATTCCCCCTCTGAACTATTGGGAAGCTTCGAGAACATTTACATAAATGCTATCTATGGCCTTCTCCAGCCACGCTGCACCAACTCAGTTCCACCCAGCACGGTTTTAATATTTAAACAAGACATTCATAAACTCTGGAGACTAATGTGGAACATGAACACACCAGTCTTCTGTTTGCCAAATCAGTACATTCATTATTCATTTGCAATTTTAAAGTGCAAACATACACACTGGGCCCAATCCAATTGCTTTCATTCACGTTCCTCTTTTGTAAACTTACTGTTGTTTCTGTAAGAACTTGAGTCCAGGTTCCTTTTGAAAGAAGATGGTTTAAACAGAGTTATAGTTGCTTTATGGTGAACTTGCCACTGGCTGCTGCAAGAGAGGAGCCCCAAAGAGAAGATACAAGGACTCCCTGAAACAACATCTCAGCCTTGGCCATATTGATCACCATAACTGGTCTACTCTGGCCTCCAATCGGGAGGCCTGGAGACACACCATCTATAATGCTGCTGATGCTTTTGGAATGCCCACAGGATCACCCTTGAGGAGAAAAGACAATGCAGAAAGAATCGTGCCCTGCAGAATACACCATCTAAGGAGTCTTTCTGCTGTGCCTTTTGCAATTGGACATGTCTGTCTCGTATTGGCCTTTTTAGCCACCAACGTGCCTGTAACAAACATGGACAGAGCCTTCCCAAATCTTCGTTTGCGAAGCCCAGCCATGAGCCAGGTAAAACGTAGACAGATTTACGGGATAAACTACTGTGTCATCACTTTCTTTAGGGTTGGTTAACATTTTTCTTTTGTGAATTCCTATTTTTCTTGGGAGAGACTCAGTTTCTCCACAAAAAGCAAGGCTGCATGTAAACATGTAAACCATAGTTGACTGAGCAACAGCCTTTCCTGCATACAGCAATCCTAAGAGATTGTTCATTGCTCACCCAACATTAATACCCTCAACTCACAGGCCATAGAAGCAATACTTTTCATCCTTCGTCTTCTTTTTCAACTTTTTTTTTTATATTAGACATCTGTTCCCAAATCCACTTCTACCAGCTCTTAACTCCAATACTGCACAAGCTATCCATGAAGATAAACAGCTCTCATGCCACTTACTGAGTCCCACTTTCCCTTACCAGTAGCCTGTGTTTTGGGTGCCCAGTTCTCCTTTCATCTTATAACAAATCCAAGCTATAGACTGGGATAAGCCCCTGCAGCTGACTCCAATATCAATGTCTCATCAGCAGATATTCACGGGTGGCAACAGGTGTGTACTCCAAATATAGAGAATATATTTTTAGTTTTCTCTGCAGCCACCTTCCACAAAGACTTTTAATTAATTTTGTAAAATAGTCACTTCCCACGTGTTCAGATACTTCTGCCACTAGCAGAAACTCTATTAACTGGCTGACAGCAGGGGAATCAGGTTCACACACTGCTAAATCCAGGAATATGGTTCCTAGAAGAAAATCTAGGAAGAGCACAGCTCCTGAAATGTATTCTGCATTCACTATAAAAGCCCTGTAATCAGTTATAGTGAAAATCAAACACAAGAGAACATTCACTACAAATAAGGAACAAGTAAAACTCGATCATCAGGAATCAGATCTTTTCGAAGTTCTTTGCCACGAAGTGCAAGCTAAAAAATCCATGCAGTCCCTTGCCTTGGCTGTGCCCAGAAGATCTGCCAAGGTTCCCTGCCAGCAGAGGCTTGCTGCAAATTTACAGAAAGAATGAGTCAAAGTGAGCAGCAGCAAACAGCTGGCTGGCTAACATGCTTGTGCATTCCTGCAAGGCTTACTTACTGAGGTAAGTACCAAAAATCTCTTTACCAAGCTGAAGCAAAACGAAATATTCATAGAAATTGAAGGAACATCAGTTGCATCTCTGACAGAAGTGTGGCAACACGTTTTCCTAGGCATTCCCAGAGACTAGGGGAACACAAAACAGTTCACAAGGAGGATGAGTGGCAACAGAAATAAATAGTTCGGAGAACAAGCAGAAAGAATTCAACAGCAGAAGTTAAGAGAAGGGTGGAGCTAAGCAGAGTCCAGGGAGTAGCCAGCCTGAGACCTGACCTGCAAGTTATGCTTCTGTTCCCTTACCTACAAAGAGACAAGGACACAAAAGCTGCATCATGCACATGTTAAGATTGAGTCACAAAAGATCCACAACAGATTCCAGGGTCTAAAATCTAAAAGAAAAGCCACACTAACAGTGATGGTGAAGCAATTTAACAGCAGTGAAGATAGCTTAACTCAGTCTCATGGGGAAAAAAAATAACATGAGGGAGGAAGGCCCATATAAGAAATAAGAAGGATCTGTTTTCAAAGATTAAGGTAAAACTAAAACATTTTACTTAGTTATGTTTTTTCTGAAACATACCTTCTTTTCATATATTCCCTCTCTGGGTTCCATCACCCTGAACAGGGAGATACATACTAATAATACAGTAGAATTCTTCCAATGTGAATCTGATTTCAGTCAAATATTGAATGTAAGTAGCATTAAAGTAAGGGGCTGCAACAGATTAAAAATAGATAAGAGGCAGCTTATTTAACATTCAGTTTCACACAAACAGTGATATCAGTTTCCTAACATTTAAAATCCATGATGAAATTTTCCATGACCCTGTAACTAGACTTTCAATATAAAACCTGTGTTAAGGCTTATATTTTTTTCTGTTGCAATTGCCATAGCTACTAATTCTGAGGTATATGCAGGCTAGGCTTGCAAGGTATAATGAGCAGCAAGTTTAATATTCTACTTCTGTGTCCCCAAGGCCCATATGTGTCCATGTTCCAACTACTGAATATTCCTACTCGGTCACTTCAGTGAAACTATAAGCATGACAGGTCTCCACAAATAAAAGTGTCAAAAGATTGAGACAGGTGATAATCCCAGATAGAATTTATACTTGAATATAAATAGATAAGAAATTTAAAGTAAGAAGGCTTATAAACAACCTAGTTCAGTTGTTCAATGCCAAAGAAGGAAGAAGAAATTGCACAAAAATGCAGATTGCCAGAATACATGCAGAATATTTTTAACACCTGCAGTGAATTAGTGCCATAAGTGGAGCTGACATTACATCCAGGAGGTTAATTCCAGCAACTGAATGGAGCATATATTTCTGCAGATTAGATCTAGAGTTGTTTTTTTCATATTTTCACATTTTGTCTGAGCAATTATAGTGAGCACTACCCAACATGTCTCAGTTTCCAGTGCAGCTACACGCTGGCTGCCAAATGTTTCATAATGTGGTAGATAATTGCACTAATTCTGGCTCTGAAAGACATAAAGGATATTTATGACTTTTTCCCCTGTGTCAGCAGATATGATTTGCCACAGCTGTCTACCTTGAATTTTGCTGCTCTACAGGACAATACAAATGATTTATTCTGAATCACTGAAGGCCTCGGGTCACTCAGCAGGAAGTGGTACAGCAATCTCACCGAGAGAAAATGCCAGTTGCAAAGCTCTTGTCTCCACTCAACTACCAAAAAGGTGATTTTTCATAATCCCAGGAGGTAACTCTCCAAGGACAGAATCAGCTAAACACTTCACAAAAAAGGAGCTCCAGAATTACTGGTTTCTCTCCCAGAGCTGGTGAGATCAGAATGACTGTAAAAGCTGAAGATAACATTTATAAGGAAGACATATTTCTATTTGTAGCTGTTGTCTTGACAAGTCAGTAGCAGGGAAACCCAACTCTGATTGCTTTCAAGGCTTCTCAGACAGGTCATTGCCACAAATACTTTGTTTAGCACTGAGAGTACTTTAAAAACCAGACAGAGGGACATCTTCAGAAGTAGCTAGACCATGTCCCAGAACATTGGGACATTTAAAAACTGAAGCAGCTCAACAGTCAATAAGGGAGCATACTGGATTCTCATGTGTAGGTCAGTGGGCACACATTCAGAAAACCTGGGAGTGGAAATAAAGGAATTAAGTCTCCTTGCATGTGTGTGTATGCACAGAAGCCTCAAGTGATAGCAAAGGTCTCCTGATGGCAGAAGAGTGACAGTCAGTGAAGTCCTTTTTGAGTTAGTGTAGGGGTCAAGGGATAGACTTCTGGCGAAGGCCTTTTAGCATCAGCCTTTTACCTGTTTATAAGTATCACCACACAACTAATCCAGACACTGAAAATAAACCTCATCTATCTACTCTCATTTACTAACTAGCATGCAGAGATTAAGGAACTTGGGGTTAGATTGCAAAACTGCCTTGTCCCTTGTCCCATCAGCCACGGTGAAGCCTCCTCTCAAATGGCATAACTCCTACCACATCGCATGTTAGATTTGTCTCCATGGCTGTACTTTCACTAAAGATATAAACTTATATCACCTGCAAAGGTCATATGTTGGTACACCTGGCAATAAACCCAAAGAGCAGGTAAGCAGACACTAAACATAGAGACCTATGAAACAGCAGCAAAAGTACAGTTCCCCAAAACAAAGTCTGTCATTGATTGGTGCAAATTTTGCTGAAGATATACTTTTTAAATGAACTTGGCTTGCCACATACAGGAAAAAAAATGTGAATAAGGCTTTTTTTATTGCATAGAAGATCCTAATTGCTAACACATACATTTTGTAAAGTGGCACAGGCTCATAGTTCACATTAAGCTTGACATGGCTATGATCCACTAAAACAAAGGTTTACAAATGGTAACAGGTATAAAGATTTTAACATCCTCTAGTGTCTACAATGAAGGATGGGATAAAGAACTAAACCATTCTAGTTTCATTGGAAAATCCTCCATTACCTGATCACACTAGGCTGTTCCTTCTTGTCATCTTGACTTGCATGGCACGTTGTCCAGCCTTTCCTTTTGTGCCCACTCACCATCATCCCACACATAACTTGTCTAGCTTCAGCCAAGCAGTCACTGCTTGCAAGCTCAGGGGGCCTCTGCCTGGATGTCAACTTGCATTTTAGTGGCAAGGGCAGAATGAGTTGCTTCTCATTCTTGATAAAGAATTTATCTTAATTTCTCTGTTATCTAATGATATTACAACGTCAAAGTCAGCATTAGCTTTTCAGAATCGAGTCTAACAACTAAGCAGCCTGCACTTCAGTTGGCTAGGAAAAGAGGAGTAGTTCTCATTAAACAGTTCTCCACCTGTCATATCTCTTCTCTTCAGATGTTTTCTTACTTGAGGCTGGACCTGTCTAGTCAGTGCCTAACAGAATGAAGGTGGTCAGCCAGCTCAGAACCTGTCACATCTGTCCAAAATATACTGTATAAATATTTAACTTTCCAAATGTTCCACTTACTGTTGGACATACAGCTATGACAAAAAGCCTCATTGTAAAGTGGCTTGGCAGAACTGTTTAAGGTGGGTGAATAGAGAGTACTCACTTGAATAGAGCAGGTCCAAACACAATGGAGAGGTTTTCCAGAGTCATGAAATTCACTTCACTGTGCGTTGCTATCTTTAACAGGAAAGCAGACAGGAACTGAAGAAGGTTTTGATGGGCTTTGGGCAGGCAGCTGAGCAACTGTTTCATGTTCTCTATGCATTCTGTTGTGTTGATTTTGTGCTCTGGTGGGGGGAAAAAAAATTATGACAGGCATTCCTAATATCAACACAATTTCATCATAGATATTTCTATAGATTTGAGAAAGAGAGACATTTTAAAATATATTAGAGCAAAGTGAAGAATAAATATGTCCCAAACAAATAACTTGTACTCCAAATTTTGACAGCAGTTTTCACAAATGAATATTTAAGTACCATGGATTTTCCAGATACTGAGTTTTACATACACTGTTTCTGCTACTCTTCCTGTTATGACAGAATTATCCAGCACTTGCTGCTTTCTTAATGGGATTGCAGGCAGTAGTCATGTACCTGAATCCTTAAAGCTGCCTTTAAAGATGATATAAGGTTGTCAGCCTTAACTTTCCTGAGAGATTTTACACATGCTGCATGATTCTCATTAAGGGAAATAAGAAATTGTACCCTTTCAGCCCCACATCATCTTCATTTCCTGACTAATTGGTAGCTCTCAGACTCCAAACATCTTTGGTCTATAAATATGCAACTGTAGCTACACAAGAGATGCTTAAAAATCTAAATTGGAGATACTTAGCATTTTCTTGGTTCTCGTTCTTCAAAGAAGGGTAACAAGGCAGAAAATAGGTTCACAAACAACTCCATTTGATCAGCAGTTCAGAATTAGTATGATGAAGTCTCCTGGCTATTAGAATTTAGATGACAGTACTGCTCAATAATTGGCAGCTGATGCTCAAATTTGCCACAGATCACCAGGACACATCTGCATAGCTTTGACATTGTGAATAGCAAATCATGCCCTAAAGGGTAATTTTAGCCCTAAAAAATACATTTCGTGCAGGCTAAGGCCCAGGGTGCCCAACTGATTAATGAGAGAAATGGAAAAGAGGATGGAGAGGGGGAAAAAATAAAAATATTTTAAAAATAACAGCAAGACAGTTAGAAGTAGACAAAACAAAGTGCTCTCAAAAAACCATAGATCTTTCAGCATAGATTTTCACAGTTCATGAAGCGGATTCCTTTCTCTTTCTTTCCTTTTTCCTTGCAAACACTTACACTGGCACCTTGAGCAAAAGCAACCTGCAATCTAACTCACTTATTTGTATGTAAACACCTGAATTAGTCATCAGTCAAAATCACTGGGCAGAATTGTCTGACAACATTAGCTCAGCCATTATAGATTTAATGGGGAACTAGGCAGTGTATTGCTGCAAGTACCGGTCCTGGCTTTGCATTCTGAAAGCTTCATGCTGCTCCACACACTGCTGTCCAAGAAGATTATAAGAGGATTAGAAAAATAAATATTAACTAAAAATAAAGTTCTAAGTAAGAACAGGGATGCACAAAAGAGTTCCTGTACCAGGGAAGGTTAAATAGAGAAAGAGGCCTCAGCTTGGAAAAGAGAGAAGTGAGGCAGTGGGTATATAAAGACACAAGCAGCATTATGATGGCAATTAGATTAAAAATAAAGATGTCATCTCAGTAACAAGTAAGGTATACAATTTAAAAAGAAAGCATGCAGAGGGGTACTTTCTCAAAGAATAAAGGATTGGATTGCAAGATGCGTTGCCACATGATGCTGGGGAGTCCAAAAGCCTTAAAGAATTAAAAAAAAGACTACAGACAAGTTCATTGAAACGTAGTCAATCAAAAGCAACTAAACATCAGTCTCAGGTTAAGGAAACATAAAACCTTGCTTAGAAAAGATGCAATGAACACATTATCTGTCACTATCAGAGAAAGGACAGAAGCTTGGAAGGTGCCTGTTCTGTACCTTGGAAAGTTTTTAGCAAGCCAGAACAAATGTTGTCTGGAAAAACAGCCACTGGTAGTTCTTTCAGAAAGAGCTTCAGGAGACTGGCCACAGAATCAACATCTCCATCATTAATAAGGTCCACTTTTTCTCCTTGATTATATTTCTGTTTTAATTCTTTGATTTTATTTACTGAACCACCAATTCTAAATATACCAACACGCTCCAGACCTGTTTAAGAAATATAAAACAGCAAGCAATGGTTGCATTACCTTATTTGTGTGATAAGAACTCAAAACTCATTTGTTGATGAAGCTCAAAAAGCAAGAGCTCCTTTAAGAAAGCATAATAATTGTAAGTATAGATTTTTCAGCACTTACAGCTAAAAAATACAGCTTAAACAAAGAATAACAGCCTTCAGAGGCCAAACAGGGAAAACAGGAACTTACCAAACACCTCTAGGTACTCCACCATCTGTGTCACAAGAGAAGGAACCCCACATTGTGTCGCACCCTGAAGGAGGGTTTCCAGAGGAACACCAAATGTGCTTCTTTCTCTGCTGAGCTGTAGGTCTGGTGAAACTTTATTTGTTGTGTGCCTGACTTGAATAGAAGAGAATGATTTCTGGGGAACAAAACCAGACAAGTGATAAGCAGAGACTGGCTTTTATTGTTTTAAGATCCGAGGGTCTACAGCTTAGGTAAAATTATTGTCCCTATTGTAGCATCTTAGCACAGACTGCATTTCTACTGCATATTGTTAAAATACTGATACTACCATTCTTCTTCTGCAGAGCTGAAACAGGATCTGTGATAGGGTAAATCCCAGTAAAGCCCGTTCACACCTACAGTCAGGGAAAATGGGACCTCATGTCAAGGCAGATGCCCTGTTTAGGACATGGAGAGGTCATTATTCCTCAAAAGAACCCCAACAGTCAGAAAAAAGCCAACCCAGTGCTGGTGCACAGCCTTCCAACCCCATGAAATTTGTGAATTTCTACCTAATTCTCGGAGACAAAAAAATGCAAGATCCACGGAGGGACCAGAGGAGGAATTGAAGCAGCAGCCACAGCTCGAGCCTGGCAAAGGGTTCCTGTCTGCTCACCCAGTAATTCCAAATTTCTTACCCCAATAACTCATGGAAAAACTTATGTGAGAAATCATGAACAACCTGCACTTGGGAGCTGCTTTTTCATCCTGTGAGGACAGAGAGGCTGTCCAGTACTTGGGCTGGGAAACACGCGGGATGTCACAGGGGTTGTCTGTCCCAGCAGGGCCAAGGGGTCCCCGTGAGAACAGGAGGGATTGCCCCAGGGGGGGCACAGCAGGTTCAGACCAGTTCTGTAGCCCCTCAGATGGCACCTCGGGGGATGTATGTAAGAATATAGATATAAATATATATTTAGATATATTTAGAATATATAACTTAAATGTATATTTAAGAACACCATCCCCCAGGGACATTTGAGAAAGGGGAAATGCTACCTGGCCACTCCATAAAGAGTCCTGGCTCCCTCATTCCCTTTCCCTCCTCTCCTACCCCCTGCTTGCCTCACAGGCAGGGGACATGACCCACAGTGCTTGCTCTGCCCTCGTGTTCCTATCAGGCAGTAATGCTCACAGTCACAAAGGAGAGGACCCTTTGCCACCAGGCAGTGACAGCAGAAGTCCAAAAGAGGAACACCCAGATTTACCAGTTCTGCACCAGGAAGATTTAAAGAGTATCTACGTCTCATTTTAAAGCAAGATTTTAATTTTTTTTTAAGTGTTACCCCAACCCATTGTAAAACCTGCCTCTCCTTAAATGTTTTTATTACTATGTTCTCAGAAGGAAAAATGAAAGATTCTCCTATGGATTTGTAGCTGAACTGCTGTACTGAAGCTGTTTTTCATACATACCTGCAGCAAAGCCACAAGCTGGAGCTCCAGGCCAGCCGTGCTGCCATGGCAAGCACTCACACTCCACTTGAAACACTGAACCCATTTCACTCTTACAGTACAAAAGCAGGCTTAGAACATGATGTTAATGTTACAGCATTAATAATTACCTAAAAGAAACTAATATCAGCGTGCACCAAACCCTTATTTTACAGCATTTTTTTATATAAGGTGCGAGGTGTTACAAAAAGCCTCTAAAATATCTATCCAATGCTATTCTAAATCCTTCCCCTTTCCCTCCTCAGATGCAGCAGTCCACTGGGGGAAGAAGCACAACCTTACCAGAACGGAGAAAGGATGTAAGAAAGGACCAAAGAAGTCAGATTGAAGTTACTCACGCAAATCGAAAGGGAGGCACCTGCTCCCATGTTAGACTGCAGCAGAGTGCCAGTATTTCAGCTGTGCTGTTCAGAAGACACCATCACCTTTCTTCCCCTCACACATTTGTGCAATCCAGCCAAAGCCAATTGCAGCCATTGGGCTGTTCCTCTGCAATTAACTTATCATAGCATAATTGCTAGGCACCATTCTAATCAGTGGTTTCACTCCAAATTTGTGGAAGGTAGAAATTAACTGCTTGTAAAAGAATATTCCCTGTAGCCAGCACTTCCCTCCAGAGGCACCCTGTACAAGCTGAGGGCTGTGTTACCATCAGGAGATGTTTCCATGGCACCTAACACACACAGTGCCACAGCTTCCTGAATCATGCTGATCCTGTGTGTCCTATTTACTTTTCAGTGGGTTTTTGCAATGCAGGTTTGCAGACATTCATACTACTTGCTGTCCACTCTGCCTGCTAGCAGCAGCAAGCAAAATATTTTGACATGGCCTGCAGTGTATACATATTATTGCTACATGTTTATATAACACCTGAACAATCATTTTGGTAAACATACAATCAAGGATCCATCCAGTCTTTGGAATATGGAAGATGAGGATATAGCTAAGCCCAACATCTTCTTTATAATTCTTTCAGATACAAAGCCTCTCCTGGGAAATAAGCCACAAGGAAACAAGTCATGTTGCAGTTAAATCTAATTGGGGGAGATTCTTAATACAAGTTTAGTAGGTGCCTACAAAAAACCCCAAAACACACAAGGCAAAAAAAATACAGGTGCTGAGACAGACCCCCTTGGTGGAGTACTAGAAAAGAAGGAGTTACTCCATCAAGACACTGTGCTGCTGGCACAGCACAGATGGCAGAGATCATTCCCTCCTCCTCAGCAGAGGGAACACCACTTAAAAAACTGTACAGATTTTTAGCACACTCACCTCCCCACGAGATGCCACAACAAGGTCTGGATAATGCTGCAGTTTAAGGTTTTCTTGCTCTACCTGCTGGGGCCAGACAAACAGCCCTTCCCAGCACCCTAACAGGATCAGCCTGGCCTTGGCACTGCAGATGTGTCCATTGTCTCACACAAGATCCAGCTGTGCCCACCATCTCTGCAGACAAGCTTCACCTGTGCCCACCATCTCTGCAGACAAGTTCCACGTGTGCCCACCATCTCTGCAGACAAGTTCCACCTGTGCCCACCATCTCTGCAGACAAGCTTCACCTGTGCCCATCATCTCTGCAGACAAGCTTCACCTGTGCCCATCATCTCTGCAGACAAGCTTCACCTGTGCCCATCATCTCTGCAAACAAGCTTCACCTGTGCCCACCATCTCTGCAGACAAGCTTCACCTGTGCCCATCATCTCTGCAGACAAGCTTCACCGGTGCCCACCATCTCTGCAGACAAGCTTCACCTGTGCCCATCATCTCTGCAAACAAGTTTCACCTGTGCCCACCATCTCTGCAGACAAGTTCCACCTGTGCTCACCATAAGGCTCTCAGAGCCACCAGCACCTCAGCCAACCGTGCCTCTCAGCTGGCAGCAATTTGCACTCTGCAGAGAAAACCTCTCACACAAAGGCCTCTGCAAAAATTCTAAAACAAAAAAAAAAACAAAAAAATCAACAACTCTCTTAACTCTTGGATCCCTGCCCCACAGCACATTTCCATGTTCCATCTTGCTAGGTGCCACAGGAATCATTCTGCTGACACGTCAATCATCCCTGCTTCACCTGAACATGCAAACTGCAGGCAAATAGCTTTTAAAGCAACAAGTTCTCTACCTGGGCAGCAAGCACAGCTTTTATCTGTCAGATCGTTACAGGGCAAACGAGGCAGCAAGGACCACAATCAGCCTCTTGGTCTGTAGTGCTCCTCTAACTGCAATTATTGAATAATTTGCTTTCAAGTCCTGACTGCAAAATTCAGCAATGCTCACAGAAAATGAACATGCCTCTGTTCCCCAGGAAGCCTGCAGCAGCTAGAGGGCACACGAGGCTTGCCAGAGAGGTGGTCCTACAAACGTCACTGCAGACAGAGCAAGGAGCCCCAAACCCCGGGCAGGATTTTCCTTTTGTACCAAGTAAGACGGCTCGCAGGGAAGATTTCTCCATCGCTGTTGTACAAAGAGCAGGGGGCCGCAGGCAGCACAAACCGAACACGTAACTGCTCATACTGTGTAGCTGCAATTCCAACCCTTCCTTCACAACCTCTGGATCAAAGTCAGCCCCTGCAGGACCTCAGATATATGAAAAGGATGTGTGGTGCTTTGAGAAGCCACCCTGACTTCAAGGGCTGCCACTAAATGAAAACCAAAGCTTTTGGTCTCCCAGCACCCTGTTGCCCAGGGGAGGGTTTGTGAGGAAAAGCAGTGCCCTGGGCCTGGGCAGTGTGAGGGGCTGGAGGAGCATCGAGGGTTGCCTTTGTACCCTCTTCACAGAAGCCATGGCCTCCAGCTACTGAAAGGACTGCTTGTGAGGCTGGCTGATGTCTCAGAAAGATAAAGGAAGGATAAACATGAAAGGAAAACAGAAAAGTTTAGTTTTCCTGCTTAGAAAACAAGGGGTTTTTACAGAAGCATTAGAAACAGCAATATCCCTGTGAGGGAGGGCAGAGGTAAATCTGCTGTCAGCAGCAGTGAAAAAAAAAATAGCAGTAAAGAAAAATAATTAACTGAGGCTTCATGGTTCATTTAAATTTTCCTTCAAAGCTGCAAGCAGCCTGCTCTGCTAACCTTAGTGATCTGTATCTCGGCTTTGGGAGTCTCCAAGCATCCAGCCAAGCAGGAAAGAAAGCCCTTCCTGGTGGGCAAGAGCCGAGCAGTGGAGCATGTACCCTGCAGGGAGGCCGCGGTGGGGATGGGGTGTGGGCAGTCCTGTCATGCTGCTCTCCAGGCTGAGGCCCAGATCCAGCTGGAAAGGCTGTGGTGGCTTTGGATTAGGAGTAAACACTGGGGCAAGCAGCCCTGCTGATGCCAGCTGCAGCCTTTGAGCAATGGGTGCTCAGGATCAGAGCAGAACCATGGAGTTCAAAAATGAACCCATAAAGCTTGACCCAAAGCAAAGAAATTCAATCCAATGGCAACTGCTAGCCTGCCCCTCCATAACATGATCCTCATTATCCAGTGACAACTTCAAAAGCAACTTTTCAAAGATACGCAGGCATACAGTGCTGATTTAAAAGATCAATACTATACATTTTTCATTTAAAGCATTGTTCCCCATAAATACTGTGTTTCAGTCACGCTGCTTATCTTCTGATATTTACTGTTACCATAAACCAGAATTTGTGATGCCTTGATTTTAATTGCATTGAGGCCTTGATGTACTTAGAGTGTTTAGATCTTCTTTCCTCTATTCTTTAAGTGGACAGCTTAAGAGAAGATAAACCTTACCAGCATGTCAGAAAGTCAGAGAACATCCTAAATACAAATTAATCAGATCATGAAAACATCACTAAATTTTTCTCATCTGTACTAAAGAGTCTAGCCCCTCTGTGACTGCTTTGCTGGAGGTGCTGGATTATGCTCTTGAACTGACTGTGTTATATCCAGAACAAGGGACATTACAAGTTCCCATCATCAACCTCTAGGTCATTTGAGCTGCTTTAAAAACCTTTTATTCCCACATGTCAAAATAAATGCCAACCTGGTGGAGGAGAAGGCTCCAGGGTAGCATCCCACAGGACCTCACAGCTGATGTGCCCCAGACAGCTGGTCAGAGCCCTCCAGCTGTGAGACACCATCTCATGCCCACCCCAGAGCTGGGGCCTGGGGAAAACGTGGGGTAAAAATGGCCAAACAGCTCCTGTGGGAACTGAGGGAGTCAGACAAGGCACTACAAGACAGAAGAAATAAGAAGGTGATGTTGTAGCAGGACTTCAGGGCACTGCTCAAAACTCCTTAGAAAAGCACAGTTTGATTTGGGTGGGCAATTCAGATAAAAGTCACTGGGCTAAGTTGAACCACTATTGCTCTGACTTTGTAGTTTGTATTGACTTTTTAAAAAGAGGATAAAACACCACAAGAAGCCCCTGAACCCATGCCAAATGAGTGTATGCTGACCTCTTACACTTCAGCAAGTAGGAGACTGGAAATGCTAAAAAGCCCTAGTAATTTGTCTAGACGGAAGAAAACCAGAAAAATTATGTTGTCTACTTGACTCAAAGTGCTCAAAACGGTCCTGTTCAGGAATGTATTTTTTTTCCTTTCTCTATGCAATCTTTTGGAAACAGCATTATCATCTGCTAAATGCAGTATGATATATCAGTTGCACCATCTCTGTCTTGACAACCCTTGTGAGCTAAGCCCATAAAAGCACCCCTGAATTACCACAAAAAAACAGTCAGGGCCTGATATACACAGATGAGATTCTGTCAGACAAACCTGTCTTACTGGCTTTCAAAGCAGATTTGCATTTCACAGACAGCATTTGTGTATTTTATTCCAATTCATCATGAGCCACTTTAAACTGAAAATTAGTAAGTTCTGAAAATTTACACAGCTTATAGTATATGGACCTGGTATATAAAGTCTAGAAATTCTCAAACAAAAAGAAAAAAAATGGAAATATGAGTTATAACCAAGATAGAAGTACAGACAGGGAAAAATGCATCTAGTATTAGGCAATCATTGGCATGAAATGAGGCATCTCTATTTTGATTACTACCACATCAATATAAGTTTTCCTACATCTTTGCTGCTAAAAGTCATAATACAGACTTAAAGATTGGTTGCCACATATCCCTCATCACAATAATCTGACTGCCAACTATGTCTACTCACCAAGTTAAATTATCAGGAAGAGTTGCTGTCCTGACAAGAAAGTAGCTCTCCCCTGCTGCTGCTTGCATTGCTTTTCACCGTGCTTATGGAACAAGTACACAGGCCACAACCTCTCCTGCCAGGCAAGCCCTTGCCAGCTGCCAGCAGCGTCTCCTCTGACTTTATTTCTGCTCCCAGCTGATCAGAGGGTCTCCTCGGGATGTGGGAGCCCAGGGCCAAAGATGGGTATGTCTGCACAGCCAGTGCCAGGCAGGCACATGGGAACTGCCCCTTCTCCACCAGCCAGGCACACACTAGCCCAGTGCTGTGCCTGAGCAAACATCTCCTGAGTCATGGCAAGGCTCTTTCTTACTGTAGACACAGCACCTGGCAAGCTTGGTGCTGCTTCTCTCTATCTGGACCCATCTCTGGCAAGGGCTGTGTTGGTGTCCTGAGGTGGCTCAGCAGAGCCTGTTTCCAGGCAGCTGAATTACAGGCATGTGGAGAACTGCCCAGTGAAACAGTGGGAGGCAAATGCTCAGACTGCTTGCTGGCCTTCTTTGTCTTCCCAGCCTATTACACTCTCTAGCATCATTTTCCTTCTAAAGACTTTTTGAAAAGTGTGCAGAAAGCTGCACACTTCCTTGGCAGCTTTGCAGAACTGAAAGTGAGTGGCCAGTGACAGGTCAGTAACTGTCAATACTCTACTCTTGGAGTGAGATGTCATGAAGGTTGTTTTGGAGCCTGCCCCTCTCTGCTTCCTGTTTTGAATTTCATTTTCTTCCTCTAATCTCCATCTGGCACTTAAACCCCTTAATTTTCTTGATGCTGTTCCAGGGAAAACAAGTAAGCATTCAAAATCCAGTATTACTCTATTATCTAAAGGCACTATCTTGCTGTTGCAGCTAAAGAGCAGAACATCAGCAAAAATAACCACAGGCTGAAAACTCTCGTAATGAAGCAAGTAAAGCTTTTTCAGGCCCCACAAATTATTTAAAGTCCATATTTCTACTGTATTTCAGTCTATATCATGAAATTGGCTGATGCCAGGTTTATTTCTCCAAGAAACGGGAAGCTGAAAAGCAAAACACAAAGCAACACAAAACTTCTGTAATCATGGTTTGTTCTCTGCCTGCTCATTATCAAAGGGAATTTGAAATGTCAGAATAGTTTCAGCAAAAGCTGCAAGTACCAGGCCAGTTTCTGCACACTCAATCATCCTCTCAGGAAGACAGGCCTCCCATGAGGCTCCATCCACAAACTGCTCACACCTGGTTTCTTCCACCCCCCCACAGCTGAAGGGAAACAGCTTCCAGCTTCAGCCCCAGACAGCTCATGGTCTATGAATCTCTCGCTGAAGCGACTGTCTCTGGCACCATATGATACCATTTTTCATAAATAATACAGTTTCAACACAATATTGCCTCTCTGAGGAGCTGTAAAGAAATAAGACAGGATTAGTCCTTGCCTCCTCTCTGCCTCTAGCTTGCACAGCATCTGAGATGGGGATAGAAAAAAAAAAGAAAAAGGAGGAATAGAGTAAGTAGAGGCTTCAGCATTCTCTTGCACCATGGACACACGTAACAGCCAGGCAGAGGCAGCTTTTAATCTGTATTTCTCTGATGGCATAAAACCCAGTCCTTAGGGGTTCAACACTGTTTCAAAAGAGTTGCTCCTATTATGCTCAATTATCTCTGCCTCCTGCAGTCTTGTGATACTGCTTCCTGAACGAAATTAGGGAAAACTCAAAAAAGGTGGAAAACCCTCGAACAGGAGATCTTCCTTCCCTCCAGAGGAACCAAGATGGCAGAAGTGTCTCCATCAAGCCTTTTGGTTCCAGGTGAGATGATGAAACCCCAGGTTCAGTAATTCAGTCCGTCATATGTAAATTCAGGTCTCCTGTTTCTAAAGCAACAAGGAAACAGTACTCTCAGCGGGAGTATCTCTCTCTCTCTCCCAGGAATCTTTTTGCTAGACAAAATGGTTACTCACACACCCAGAATAGTGACTACTTAATTGTTACCTATAATGGATACTCCAGGCAGACACCACATTGTCAAGCCTAGTCTCATAAATGTACTTTTTTATTCCTTCACAGCACCTCCACATGACTGTTTAATTTGAAGCAAATATTATTTAATTAAGCATTTTTGTGATACCTTGCATAACCTCATACACAGTATTTATTGTAATTCAAGACATGCCAGATGATTTCAGTTTATCCTGATTTGCAAAGATGGTCCCCTAAGTAATGCAAAGCAGGGAGACAGCCACTCCAACTCAGGGACATTTTAATTAAAAAGCAAAGTACTGTCATTTCGACAGAAGACAGCGTGACCTAATACAACCTGATATGCATGTCATGTATCAAATTTTAAAGTTATAACCACAAAAACCCACACAATTTAGATACGATCTGTAAATACAGAGTTGGTCAGAGCACTGGACATTTACAAAACGGGGTGTGGGTATTCATCTTGTTACTCAGCAGCATCTAGTTATTGCTGTTAATCACTGAAAACATGTTTACTTTTTAACATGAGCTATGACACAGGGAAAGGAGGAAAGAGTTTAGTCAGGTGATTTTTCAGCCTGCAATGAGAGAAATGGTGAGGGGGAAAAACACTAATTTGAGTTAAAAGAAATAGGTTTTTTAAGCTTAACTGACCAAGTAAGACTAAGCTTAGAGCCAAAGGCAGCTGGGAACAGTGTTTGCTGCAGTCTCAACTCACAGGGTCATGACTGCAAAGGCAGCTTACAAAGGGATTGCTCCAAGCTCCTTCCCAGCCAGTGCTGTGGTGCACTAAGGCATGTTGTGCTATCAGTTACAAGAGAGCTCACATCACAAAACCATCAGGCTGATCTCAGTTTAAAAAAAAAAAAAAAAAACAAAACCCACGACAAAATAGAATTTCCAGAGGTTCTGTGAGTGGGTTTTACAACAAAGCACCCACAATGATGCACTGTTGGTTGCCTTAAGCAAACTCAAAACTATGTCCTGGAGGCTCACTGTACCTGATCCCTCTGCAGCAGCACTGGGGCTCGGCAAGGAATGGGTGCAGGGATGCTCCCTTGAAAACTCCTGAGGTCATGTCAAAGAGCTGAGCACTGCATGATATTCCTCATTGCACACTAGTGAGGAGACTGGAGGTACCCATGCATTGAACCTCACGCCCCAGGTGTGTGTTCTCCTCCCTCTCACCTTGTGCCTGCTCACAAAACTGCAGCAGACACAGCACTACAGCTGCACCTGACACAGAGAACAAGGAGAAGAAAGCACAGCAGTGAGACCCCACAGCCCAAGGACCTGCCCTGTCTTCACTTTTCCTTTTCATACGTGCACAAGGCTCCCATTCCTCAGCAAATGAAGCCTTGAGCATCTGCAGGCAGAGAAGTTGAGAAATCTGCACACATATCAGTCATATTTTATTCTCTTTATATAGCTCTGGGCAAGAATTTCAGCAATTGCTCATATCTGATATCTGAGCCTCTAGTTTCTGGCAACATGAAATGATAAAAGGCTAATAAAGTCAATTTGGACTGATGTGATGATTTAATAATAATAATGAGAAAAACCCAACCAAGCAAATACTCCATATATTGAACACAGATAGCTAAAGGTGACCAACAGCATAGCTGTAAAAAACTATGGACACACTAAAGAAAACTAACATAAGATATTGTTGCTGAAAGTGTGAGGACATAACAATGAGGACATAAAAGAAAGGAGTCAAGCTTTCCCCACAGAACCAGGAAAGCAACAACCAACCAGAAACAGAGCAGCTATTTTGAGAAACCTGAAATCACTATGTCATGGCTGAGGTGTTAAACTAGATGACCTTTAAAGGTCTCTTTCAATTCAAATTGTTCTGTGATTTAGATCCTGCAACAAATTCATTACATGATATAGCATGGTTCAAGTTGAGCATGTGTGTATTGCCCATGAGAACTGTTCAGATTGTTTTAAAAGCCATCATTCAAAAGAACAAATATCAAAAAATATCACCCCCCCAAACAAACAAACAACCCCCCTCAAAAAACAAAACAAAGAACCAAAACAAACAAACAAACAAAAACCAAGTAAAAAGCAAAATGGATTTTGGTAATCTGAGAGCATCTGAGACTCTCTAAAGAGTCTCTAAAGACTGTTTCTTGTAAGAAGACTGACAAGTCTTTAACTTGGCTCTTCAGCATAATTGAGTCTATAGCAAAATATCACTGAAAGGAGTCCTTTGAATTTGAGAAATTTCTTTTACATAGGAAAGCAGCTTTTACCACTTCCTTTGACATACCTGTCCAATTTCTGTATAATTCATCATTTTGCCATTTTTAATCTGATTGATATCACGCTCGGCCCGACATATTCACCATATGTATAATATGTGAAAGGCCCTCCTGAAAGGCCTGAAATGAATTATCTTTGCAATAAAAAACATCTCAGTGTCAGTTTAATGCTATGCAAACATCTCAGTCAATTTTTATAGCCCTTACTCAGCACATTGTTCAATGTCAGTGCAGGATGCAGGAATCCACTATCAGCATGATGTAGACAAATTAACAGCCACTGAAGGAATGCAATCCATTTCTGCAGCTAATGATAACACCCATCAATTGAGCAAAGCACAGAATAGCCTTTAAACCTAATAAAACTTAGCAGTTTCATTTGTCTAGTTACCAAAAAAGTAACCACAATAAACTTTCTTCAGATCTGCAAATTAGATGTTAAATGTTCTATTCATGACTAATTTCACAGTAACAAATTCATTTATGCAATAAACAACAACTTTTTCTTCTACAATGAAGAATAATTATTTAAGCATTTCATTCCTTCTGTTCCAGATCTGTTTGTCAGGAACTATAAAACTCAAGAGGATCCAGAATTTAATTCTTCATGCCTACCTCTACTACTTCTGCCACCCTGTCAATGCCAAAGACCTACTTTTTAAGCAAATGAGGTACAAATAATCATCTTGTACCTCACCTTCCAAAAAATATTTGAATCTATAGACTGATTTGAATGAGTCAGGAAGACAGAAGGAGGAAAGGCTCTCAGATAATACACAACTTGCAGCATCTCTGGGAATGTCTTCTTGGAAAGGGACCCTGCAAAACTAGAAAAGTAAAATGCAAAAAACTGAAACATTAAATCTTGGGTACTGTTTATCAATTAAAAACGAGATTAGTACAGTCAAAGTGCTTGACCAACTGGCTGGGGTGAGGAGTCCTAACACAGATTGCCTGCAATGGCAAACCAAATTCTTCAACAGTCAGGGTTCTTCCCTCACTGATGGGTCGGGTTACATCAGGAAACTATTACAGATCACTAGTCATATTTCCAAACATATCAGGCTGCCTAATAATAGACTCCATTTCCATTGCAGAAGTGTGCTACATAGCACCCAATCATTAACATTAATTCCAGCTGA